AAGTAATTTCTAAATCATTTTGCTAAATATACATTATCAAGTTATCAAGCCCTACAATAGCATCACCAATTTTAACAATTTCTTTATTTTGTTCTTCTTTTTCAGATTTGCTTTCATCTTGTCTATTTACTATATCAACAATATTATTTACAGTTAAGCTTTTCTCAATATCTATATAATTATTTATGTTAATATATTCTTGAACATCTAAAGGATCACTAATCAGTAAATGTTCAATAAGATTTATAATTTCTATTTCTAATTTAGTTTCTTCAGGTGTGAAGATAAAATTATCATCAAAATTTTCTGTAGTTGGAAGTATATTAGCTCTTCTCCAACTGTGAATAATCGTATTTGCAGTAATAGTTTCTCATGCTTGAGCTGAAAAATTAATTGCATCATATATAGTAAGTTCAGAAAGGGTTGGATTATCTTTAGTAATTGCATCATAAGCTTCAAGATGGTTTTGACAAAAAATATGATGATATTGTGTCTACAAAAAAATAAAATAAATAAGTATAAATTTAATTAAATAATAAAAATTTAAATAATTTAAAATTTACTTTAAGACTATAACCAATTTCTTGATCAATAGGTTGAAGTTGGGATGTTGTATTGGGTGGTAAAAAGTGTATATGAACATTTGAAAGATTTTGAATATTTTCAGAATTATGTGATGTAGTATTGTCAAGAAGTAAAATAATATTATGTTGAGCAAGTCTCATTTTATCATTAAGTTGATCTAAAAAATGACTGAATATACTTCTTTGCATCCATCCTTTTTTGTTCCAATAATACCAGACAGGAAGAATAGATTTTTCAATATCACGAAGTGCATGTGAAGTTTTGAATTTGTAAATAAAAAGAAGTAATAACTTTTCATTACCAGTAGAATTACAAGTAATTATAAGCAAAACTCTATCTTTTGATTTTTTTTTTCTAAAACTGGACTATGTGCAAGTGTCTTGCTTGGCTCAAGTCATCAATAAAGTGCAGTTTTGTCACAATTAAAGATATTTCTAGGATCATAATTTTGAAGAATATTTTGAAGTTCTATATGAAACTTTAAAATATCTTCCAAAGGAACACTACCAGCTTCTTCCCTATATTGATATAATAAAATAGTATTTCTTTTTTTAAAGTTAGTAAGCCAGCCATTAGATGCATTAAAACTGGTAATTTTAAATAGATTTGCAAATTCTTTAGCTTTAGTTTGAATAAGATGGCCTGTAAGAGTGAGTTCATTTTTGATTGCTTGTTCTACCCAAATAGACAATGCTTCTTCTAGATTAGGATAATCAAACTTTCTTTGACATTTAGTTTGAGTTAATGCAGAAGCATCATCAAGGTCTAGCCAGTATTCAGAGCATTTAAGAATATCAGATACAAACTGCTCACTTATTCTATATACTTTAGCTAACTCTACACCTTTTAAATTTGGATTGTCATGTTTTTTTTTGCATAATTCCTTTTTTTGCACACCAGTTAACAAAATTCTCTTTTTTATAGTAGAATTGGAAGTTTCTTTATATTTTTTAAATTTTTCATATGAATATGATTTAATATATGTAATTTGATCAAGTTCTTACTTTATATCTTTTTTTTTATAGATCGTTCAATACAGATTATATCATAAAAATGTAGTCATCTTCAAAGTTTAATTTTTATAAACTTTTTTTTTACTACTACTTACTATTCTATAATAAGATTATCATATTATGACTTGGTTTTTCACTAAAACATTACTAATCATTTAATTTTTGACAAAACCTATACTATAATATAAGCAAATGAGACTTGATTTAAAAAAGTATATAATAGTTTGCTTATGCTCTATAGATTCTCATATTATGTTTCAAATTCAATCACTTCTTATTATATTTTTTTATTCAAACAAGTTTATTTCTTTATATAAAGCTTTTTTAAGCTATTATATACTATTGTTATAGAATGATTTATTATTATTTTATTATTATTATTAGTTATTATTATTATTATTATATTATTATTATTATTATTTAGTATTAGTTCTTTCATTATTGTATTATTATTATTAGTAGAAGTTGTCGGAACATTCCGATTGATTAGTAATTGCTTAGTTGCTTAGTTATTTAGTAATTAGTTGCTTAGTAATTATTAGTCATTAGTTGCTAGAACCTTCCGGTCATTTAGTAATCGCTTAGTCACTTAGTCGCTTAGACGCTTAGTCGCTTAATTGCTTAGTCACTTGGCCACTTAGCCACTTAGCTCACAGATATATAAACCTTGCTAAATTTCCCAAGTGCAATTAAGCAACAGACATACTCTTCCCTTTAATATTATAAACACATCTTGGAATTCTTTAGGAACAGAAACCTAAGGATAGCCCTTCTTGTTATTACTTTAATAAATAGCTTTTGACTATAAACTATATTGATACTCCCCCTTTAGGGTAATTCCTACAGGCAAGGTTTATCTCCCCTTAGTAAAATAAAGTAAAGTTATTAGTATTGCATTACCTTTCTCGAACTGCCTCAGAGAAGGGTATAGTTTCTTGACAACATCTAACAGAAGCTATACTTCCCTCTTGGACACCGCATATACCTGTAAGAGATTCCCTGTGTCGTGTCATCGTTATAGTGTGAAAATTAAGAAGGCTTTTACCTATAACAATAGTATACCTTGTTTTTAAACCAAACTTCCAATCCAGATAGTCTGGTAGGACTATGACCTGTCTCTGATACCTCAGAGTTTGCCTTCCAAGATTCTTTTTCTCTAGTTTGAGACTTCCAGCAATCTGGTTAGTAGTACTCCTTACCTGAGGTTCTTGCTTGACTAATTTCTTCTATATTAATATCCATTTCCTAGGTCTAGCCTTTATATAATACTGTCAAAGATCTATACTATCTCTTTACTCAGGTTTTCCCAAATGGACTCTGGTTTTCTCAGTTCACAGATTTATATAGTCATGAGGACTTATCTTGGATTTGCATTGCCTAATGCCAGTTAGCATTTCTCTGTATAACTTCAATATTGCACAGATGCCCTATGACCTGTCAGTTATTTGGTGCAACTGTGTTACAAGTACTAATCCCAATTGATCGACAGATTGTTATTGCTGTAGTACTGATTTCAAGGACTTATCTTGTGTTTGCATTGCCCAATGCCAGTTTGCATTTCTTTGTGTAACTTTAGCATTGCACAGATGCCTGTATACACTGATATAACATAAGTAATTTTTCAAATTTTCACTATTGATAGGTTTTAAACTCTCAACCTGCCACTTGAGAGGTTGACAACTTATTCACTTTACTAAATCATCACACCCCACTATTATATTATTTTAAAAAAATATACTTGTATATATGATAAAGTTTATCTAGGTTGATTAAAATTTGCCTAAGTAGTACAAAATTGAATAATTTGATTGGTTAATTTACGTAAATCTATAAGTTAATTTTATTATATAGTTTTATAACCTAATATTTAAAAACTCATATCTTGATGAGTTTTTGCCCAATTTTAATAATTTTACTATCATTATAATTAGAACGATCTACTCTACAACTTTTATATAAGGATTAAAATTTATTTACTTAATATATTTTTTCAAAAAATTAAATATAAAAAAAAGTGATAAAAATTTGCAACTAATTATATATAGAAATGATCAACATTGTACTCTATCTTTAAAAATATAATAAAATTAAATTGTATAAATTATATAATTAACTAATTTTAAATTGCTTATAAAACTGCTTATAAAAATATAATTAAATTAAATATTTTATTTGTATTTAATTAGTTAACTGTATACTTGCTTATAAATATTTTAATATAGTATATTTTATTATTCTAAAGTAGTAATATAATTTTATTGTATTAATTTTTAATAATTATAATATTTTTATTAATAATTTTTACTTATATACATTTGTAATCTTGTGATAATGCTGCTTTATTATTTAATTGATGAGCTAGTTAGTAATTAATAAATAATTTATAATTACTAACAAATAATTACTTTAATTTTATAATTTAACATAATTATAAAATTGAAAATTTTATTTATATAATTATAGAATTATAGTATTATAGTATTATTAATAATAATTTTCTATAATAATTAATTTTTATAATAATTTAACTATATAAAAATAAATATTTATTATTACAAAATTATTACAAAAATTAATTATTACAAAAATTATTGTTTTTAAGTATTATAGAATTATAATATTATAACATTATAGTAAATATTATATTATAATTAAATCTACTATTTGATAAAATACTATAATATTGTAATACTTAATTTAGTAATTTTATTGATATTATATTTTTGCTATAACAAAGTTTTAATAGTTTTTATTGTTTAATATTAAAAATTTATTGTTAAAAAATTTATATATAATAATTTTTAAATATTAATAAATTTAAAAGCTCAATTAAAATATAATCATTTAATTTATATTATTATAAATTTATTTTTTAAATTGTTGTATTATTTATAAAAAAGTATATATAAGATTAACATTGTATTAACAAAAAATAATAATTAAACAATCTTTATTTTAAATAATTCTTTGATTTAAACAATCTTTGACTTAACTAATTTTTGATTTAAATAATCTTTGATTTAAATGATTTTTAATTTAAATAATCTTTAATTTAAACATTCTTTGGTTTGAATAATCTTTAACTTAAATATTTTTTAATCTAAATATTCTTTAATCTAAATATTCTTTGATCTAAATATTCATTAATTTAAATAATCTTTAATCTAAATGATCTTTAATCTGAATAATCTTTAATCTAAATAATTTTTAATTTAAATAATTTTTGATCTAATAATTTTAATATAAATAATCTTTAACTTAAATAATTTTTGACAAAAATAATCTTTGATTTGAATAATTTTTAACCTAAATGATTTTTAATCTAAATAATTTTTAACCTAAATGATCTTTAATTTGAATAATCTTTAATTTAAATAATCTTTAATCTAAATAATCTTTGGTTTGAATAATATTTGATCTAAATAATTTTTGATCTAAATAATCTTTAATCTGAATAATCTTTGACCTAAATAATTTTAATTTAAATAATCTTTAACTTGACTAATTTTTAATCTAAATAATTTTTGAACTAAATAATTATTTATATAAATAATTATTTAATATTTAGTCTAAATAATTCTTTAATTTAAATTATTATTATAAATATATAAATATGTATTTTTTATAATATTATTAATTATAAAAATATTTTTTTAAATATTAAAAATTGTTATATAACAACTTAATAAAATAAATAAGTTATAAATCTTTAAGCAATAGGTTATAAGTTCAAAATCTACTAATGGTAAAAATTTAAACAATTATCTATATAATATATAGACAATATTATAGTAACAGTATTCTGTTGATTAGTTAAAATAAAATACATATAATTATGATTACATTAGCATGACTGATAGATTATAGAACATTTGTATAATCTAATTACATAAAGGAATACAAATCAGTACTAGATGATAAAACTCAAAATAAGTTATAAATCTATAAAACTGAAAAATTAAAGTTTATTTGAGAAAACCTAAGTAAAGAGGTAGTACAAATCTTTGATAGTATCAATGTAAAGGCTAAACTTAAAAAACAGATACCAATATTGAGAAATCAGACAGACAAAAATTTTAAATAAGAAGTATTACCAACTAGACTGCCAAAAGTCTCAAACTGAAAAA